TCTGGCATGATAAGGGTCATTACAGATAAAACAACCTGAGTCAGCACCTCCTTTTGATGAAGAGGCTTTGTCAGTCGGTTTTTCTGAGTTGCCAAACTTCTCAGCCTTTTTCTTCTGCTTGTCCTTCTTAGGGAACTTGGTTTTCCCTTTCGACTCCTTCTTTGGAGGGTTAGCCTGTGTTTTGTAGTCAACCAACGCATCTGCTGCGAACATAGCAGCTGGTAAGTCCTTTACCCCTTGTCGACGAAGTTTTGCCTGTGCCTAAGTTTGGAGACCAGACATAAAGTTGAACAGCTTGTCTTCCTCAGACATATTTTTGATGTCAAGCATCAGAGACGAGAATTGTTTCACGTACTCCCTCACGGTGCTTGTATGACGAAGTTTCCTTAATGCATCACGGGTTTGCCAAGTCGTGTTGCTGGGAAGGAATTGCTCCTTCATTTCAGCAGACAGAGACTCCCAAGCAGTAATTGGAGAACGAGTTTTGTCCTCAGAACGTGTTCGCCACCATAATTTAGCATCACCAGATAGGTACATGCTAGTGAGATCTACCTTCTCAGCATCCGAAGTGCGGACTGCTTTGAAGTAGTGCCCCATATCCCACAGAAAATTCTCGAATTCTTTAGCATTACGACTGCCTGTAAAAGGCTTAGGGTCAGACACTTTGGCTTTCTAAGTGCTTTCACTACCAGAAGCCAAAGAAGCATTCTGCAGTGCCTTCTTGAGCACTGAAACGTCTGTCTTAAGGGAACTCAATCTTTCCCCCCATTTCATCGGTCCATGTGGAGATCGTAGCCAGCACGTCAACAACTTCGTTCTTCACTCTACTGAAGTGATCAGATTCAGTCTTTTGAAGTTGTTCATGTGCAACCCGCATCTCTTCAAACCGTTGATACAACAATTCAAGTTGCACAGAGAGAGCCACAACATCACCGGACTGTGGAGGACCAACCAATTCCTCCAAATGTGCCACCCTTTCCCTCAAATCAGCATTCGTTCCACCAGCCATAGTTGATTTGTTGCCAAAACCATGCTCTGATACCAAACTGTCACAGGGTAACTTTTGTTTTTCCTTCGAGACTACCTGTGAAGGCGTTGCAACTGCAACCAGCCACACTCAAACTCAAGAATAAGGGACAGAAACTCACACAAAAGGCACACACAAGTTTACTGGGACAAAACTCTCAAACCTTATATATTAAACTCAACAATTTACAAGGACTCTCAAATCCAGAACACTCTCTACCCCATCAGAATGCTCAAGCACCCCTATTTATACAGGAGTAAGGCAGATGACACCCCTATCTGCCAAGGGGTAGTTACACACGTTTTTGCTATTCCATAGCATACTGGCTAGCAGGCTTGGTCAGTGTGCGACACCTGGCAGGCAGTTCCACCACTTCCAGTAACTGCTGTGGAACTGCCCTTCATCAGCATGCATCTAGACTGGATTCAAACTAGGGACGCCCAGAACTGCCTCAGCAACTACCTTGACTGTGTCTCAGCATCATAACCGTCCACATCCTCTTGGTCACATGCATTGAACAGCCATGTGCCAGTCGAGTGCCCACATTCAGCAGCCATGTGCCAGTCAAGTATCCACATTCAGCAGTCAGCCTAGCTACACGAACCAATGTGCATACTGGGTTCAACCCATGCCATACAATCCGAAGCTATGCACCCACATTGTTTCAATTGAGCCCACCACGTGTTGTCATGCTCAACCAGGTGTTCTCGTACTGCCTTGGTTCGTCCCAATCTGTCGAACTATTTAGCCGCATCACCTTGATTCCAACTTATGACATGTCTTGGTGTAAGGTGACACCAAGACCGGCCATTTACACCCAAGTCAATTAGGGTGTGACAGTACAAGTCTACAAGATGTGGGCTTCAATCCCCAACGGTGCTGCTTCTATATAATATATCCGGATGTTCTTTAACATAGACCACAGCACACACGCACACAAAGGAAAAGAACACACCAATAGGTATGCAAAATTATAAAAATACTGGCTATTACAAATAACAAAGTGTTGAAACATGGAATCCATTGGACAAAATCTTTCCTTTAGATACCCAATCATCAAGCAGCTACCCACCCAGCAGAATTCGTAGGAGAAGAAAACGCACAGACTTCATGTATCCATTAGTTGGCAATTAATTTAATATATCCATACCACCACATAAGAAGTTCAATATGAAATCCACAGATAGCAATTAATTAAATAAAACAAATGGAACATCAAGTCATCGCAAAACCCTAATTACACTAACAATGAATTAAAAAAGTAAATATACTCTGATCAAACCATCAAAAAAAGATTAAATCAAGGGATGAAAGACATACCTCTAAGCTTGATTGCCTATTGTGAATAAAACCCACAATGTCTAGAGTTGCGAGGAATGCGCCAAAACACCGATGAAACACCAAGGAACGGGCCAACTATCTGGTACAATAATGATCTTCTTCTTCTGCGGCTATGATTTCTGACCAAAGATCCACATTACTTTTGCATGAAATGCAAACAAAAAATCAAAAATAAGTGAATAGAAGTGTGTGTGTGTGTGTGTATTCGAATGAAGTTGAAAATATTAGGGCTTTTCGCTGTACCAGCTCGGGAACCCATTGTCAGTACTCCACACAGTGATTATTATTTGGATTTTCAAAAATGATGTTGTTGTTGTCTACCAAAGCCATTGCTTTCGGTTTTGGAGTTTGAAGGAATGTTTTCCGTAAAAAGAAACAGCAGACACAATCGAAGATCTGAGAAGAGTGGGTTTTGTGTTCATGAGAGAGAGAGAGTGTGTTGACTGATTTATCTATATCGCTTTAAAATGTCGGGATACATGAATACATTTTTTTTTCATTTTTAACCTCTAACACTTCAACTATGCCATTCTTCTCCTCCACATTTAATTAGGTCATTTCAACCAACTCTATTGATGCTACCTGCTTTGGCGTTTGGCGTCCACAACGATATCCTTTCATCTCTCTTTCATTCAATAGTAAAAGCAATTGGCTGAGTTCTCCTTCAGTCGTTGGTGCATAACCTCTCACAAATGTGTCTCATTTCTTCTCTCTTGTAACAATAAGCAACTTATCTTTGTGTCTCTATAGATTCTAGGAATTAATGGTTCAAGCAGCAATGCCTTGCTTTCTCTCTCAGACACACATCGTCAATCGAGCGGTGACCTGCTTCAACAGGTAATTTTTTTTTGTCATAAGATTTGTGTTCTTTTGTTTGTTTTTTATTGATGATTGAATACATAAACAAATTTTGAATTCTTAAGCCACCTCCACAGAACGAGATTGTCAGATATCTTCTAATTTTCGGTCACAAATTAGAAGAAAAGGAAGAATGTAGTGACAGAACCATTACTACTCATGCACGACTGTAAAATTGATGGATTTATGGGTGGGGGCTGTTTATGGTGTGAGTCGTGAGGAAGAATAATCAGAGAGAGAGAGAGAGAGAGGAACTGCTATGGCGTGAGGAAGAAGAAGAACAGAGAAGGGGGTAGAATCAAACAAATGGTTCTATGGATAGGAATTGTTTATGATGGTGAGAGAGAGAAAGAGAGAGAGAGAGGCTGCTTGTGGCTTAAAGAAAAGGAAGAGCAGTGAAACGGGTAAGAGAAGTCTAAGGCACCCAAAAAAAAAATATTCAGTATCTTACTGTTGTTTATAAGTTCAATGAGTTTTTTTCATAAAATTTGAGATTATAAAGAGATCATTTATAATCTTTGAGTGTCATTTATAACTTTTGAGGATCACTTATAATTTTTGAGTGTACATGGGATCGCTTTTAAAAAATTTATGATCGATCCAAGTAACCCTCAAAATTTGTGAATGGTCTTCCCAAAAGTTGTATCTTTGACCACAAAAGTTGAAATATAACCCCAAAGATTGTAAATTGCTTTGTTGTGAAGAAATCCAACAATTTGTATTTCAGCCCATTAAACTCGTAAACATTGATGTTACAATAACAAACCTTTTTTTTGGGTACCGTAGTCTTCTCCCGGCGACAACTCCCTCTTTCTTTACAATTCATATTTACATTTATGGCAGAGGATATAATTAAAGTGTCTGGCATAGGAAGATTGCAACATTTTGTCCTATAATTTGTAGTAAAACAATGCATTCTGCCTTGCCAAAAGATTACACGGGGTGGTCTTTTGTTAGTTGGAATCTGTAATTTCGTAACTTGCTACATATTCTCAGAGAGCTATTGGGATGCATAGGACTCTAAAAATTTAGAATGCAAGTCCACAGCTAGGAAGTATGTCTGAAACTAATTAATATACATACTCTGTTAACTGTAATTTAAGAGGAAAATTCCATCAAATCTTTGATTCTCTATTTTATGTTAAAAATAGCCTATGATTCTCAAGGGCTTGCACTTTCTCTTCTCAGGTATCTGTCTATACCAATCCCTAAATAAATGTCAATACATTAAATTATTGTGTTACGCTGCATCTAAATATGGATGACAGTTGTGTAAGCTTTAGATATTTTCATACTAAATTTCTACATTATTGCAGTTGCCAAAACCGAGATGTGGTCATTGTGCGGTTAGCCAACGATAAGCTCTCTTCTCCCTTGTCTCTCATTTTTCTTTTTGTTGCTACATAAACACAAATAGAATCCCTCTTCTCTTCTTCCCCAATCACTGTAGTCGACATCCTATTAGGTAAGCTTTTTCTCTTTGATTATGCTATTTCCTTACTTTCTTGTGAAAATTTGCACCGAATGAAGGATACCTCTGTTATAGATTGACCGTCGTCACTTCGAAATATGTTAGGATTGCTTGTTTTAATCAGAAAAATAACGTTACTTTGTCGTTGTTGTATATAACAATTTTATACTAAATTGTTGTTACCATCCTTGGAGTGGCCCTCTCTTTCGGTGGCTTCATTGCCGAGTCTACAAAAGCTTGTGTCGTTTCTACTGCCTCTGCCACCCTTGCCACCTCTTCAGCTTCTGCCTCAGCAACAGCTTGAGCAGCCTCTTGTGGAGTCACACTCCTCATCTTGGCTAAATCTAGATCAATCTGTGATTTGGTAAGATTATTAATATCATTCCCATCAGCTTTAGGAGAAACCCTCTATTGCGTTCGCTCCATAAGTAACAAGGAGGGGTGTCTTTTATTGTCAGATAACTCTGAAGTTGGTACAATTCTGTAGTTACATTTCATCTGCAAAAGCAATAACAAACCATATCATTCAAAGCCCAGAAGCATATAAATTTAGAAAATAAGACAGAATGACTCTCAGAAAACTTTACTCGTTCAAAATGTCTTTAAGGCAAATCATGATACGACTATGTTGCCATGTTATGATGACTCTTGGTAATGCCTTTGAGGCAGATCAAAATAACAAATGCGGAGTTGAGTCATCGAGGTCCCAAACCAAATAACTATGTAGAGCATGTTTTAATTGACATCGGCAGAAGATTGAAGTATGGAACTCGGGTACATATCAAGAATATGAATTGTATGCGCAATCCATACCACTAACAACCGTGGATAACATAAATTCATTTTTGTTTCTTCAACATGCTCTCTAACCATTACAGCTAAGCCAAATATAAACTCAATTCTCCACTTCTCGAACCATGGCAATGTGTCATAATTTTCAACGATACCAACTCCTGTGGGCCCTAGCTTAGCATGATTTCTATTAGTGTGGTATGTTTAGCCTTTAGTACATGTTCCTCTGTTTCCTCTATATTTTTCCATAACTTTAAATCACTAATCTTTTAAGTTCATCAGTGGTTGGTTTTTTCAATGTTGCACCTTACTTTTGCAATGATTTTAGGTAATTAGAACTTCTAGATGTAATTTAGGAGGGCAAGAAAGTATTTTGATATCTTGTGTCAAGTGTTCATAAATGCTTTAGTTAAGCGATACCAATATATGCAGGCCCTATTCACAAGTTCTAGCTTTCTCACTGAGAACTTCAAGGGGTCAGTGACATTGATCGATGGATTCTTTTCCTATCAAGAGGTTCGGTCAAAGAATTTGTACTTGAAATATGGAAGGGACACCGTTACAAGTTACCTTTTTCTTTATTCATTTGCCAAAAGTTAATACATTTAGAGCTGTTTAATTGTCTTTTAAACCCCCCCCCCCCCTCCAAAATTCAATGGCTTTAAGATCATGAATAGCTTTGATCTTCAGCACATTACGATGGACCAAGATTTATATAACATATGATTTCTAGCTGCCCTTTGCTTCAGCGACTGACATTGATGAACTTTGATGGTCTCAGCCATCTTAACATTTGTGCTCCAAATCTCCTATTTTTTTATATTGGAGGTGTGTTTGAAGATGTCAGTCTTGAGAATACCTTCCATCTAGCTATTGTATCCATTGGTCTGTATGTAAATGCTGGATATGAGCAAAATGAGATCCTTGGCAACACTAGCAACATGATCAAGTTTTTTGCTCATATGCCTTGCATTCAAAAGCTTGTGAGGTGCAATGTTTTTTTTTGTTTTTTTCTGAAGGTAATAATTCTGGAATTGTTATCACTTGGGATTTGGATGTTTCCTGGTGGTTGACGAGTCCATTGGGTTTTATACAGGAGAGAATACCGTTTTTATAGTTTTATAACTCTTATTTCAGCTTTTATGTCGAAAATGTTGCACTTTAAAATTTCACTACTTGACCTATTATGGATGTTACAAAAGAAAAAGATTCCTCCATTTTACCTTACTATGTAAAGTTGTAAATCAGTGGATTGTTTCCAAGGGAAATATCTGAAATTCCAAACATACCATAATCATCTCAGTTGTTGATACCATTGTTCTGTGCATTCCGTTTGTATATAATATTTTGGCTGCTAGTAAGGTGCCAGGAAGGCTGCCTACACCATGTATTGAGCTGAACTACCTTTCTATATGCATAAATTTCAATGATGTGGAGGAGAATTTGGCAGCCCTGTGTCTTCTTAGAAGTTGTCCTCACATTCAAGAGCTTGAGATGTTGGTGAGTTTTTTCCTGTTACATTCCTTGTACTTGCATGCTAAAATGATTTTCCTTGTCTCCAACTTTTGTTTAGTCAAAAGCTTTTTGTACCTAAGATTCTTGTTTTTTTGGAGATACATTTGAAAACTTTCTAGACTTTTATATAATGCACTCTGTGGTAGGCTCGGCCTGAGGAACAGACTTGTGTGCAAGCAGTTGCTAACATTTTGGAAGAAGATTATTTCAGTTGTGCATTCAACCAGCTGCACTTGTTAAAATAATTGGACTCTCTGGTGGTAGACAGGAATTGGATTTTATAAACTTTCTGCTTGCAAATTCACCTGTTCTTGAGTGGATGGCAATTAAGCCTTCTACACTCGATGGTGCATGGCAGTTGCTAAAAGAATTGCTCCGACTCAAGGGAGCTTGGGTACGAGCAGAAATCATTCATCTAGACTCATAAAGATGATAAAATGGTACATATTTCTGAGTAATACACTTTGTTCTTCTGTATTCACTTGATCTTTCCAAAACCTCTCATGTTCTTAGTACAAAAATTAGGAATAGTCTTATAGTTGGTCTGCTCTGATGATAAACTAGGACGATGGAGCCAACTATGAATCTTTTTCACACTAATCAACACTTATAAATTGAAATCAATTGCTACTTTCAAATTTAACTTGTCTACATTGTATAATGCCTTTTTTTTATTTGTATTTCTTTGATGGAATTTAATACTTTCTTTGGAAATCTTGATTGTTCTTTCGTTTTGTTCTAAGGTATTTGCATTGGGATAAGTAATTTACACTATCTAGATTTTATCTTATAGGGGAGAATTCTTTAAGCCGTGTATACCATGCATAAAAAACTTGAAATACTCGTGGAATTTGTTACACTTTGGCTTCATCTATAGCAGATGAGCCAGTGAAAGGTTCTCCAATGGTTTCACCTGTAGGGTGGAATTGTCCACAAAGCTTAATCACATGGATAATTCGGCATTAGATTATTTAACATGATTGTTTCTTTGGGATTAAAAAATTAACTGTGATGAAATATGAAAAATAAGAGTCTAAGGAATAAAGTTATATATCCTATGAAAAACAAAAAAGAAATACAGTTTTATAAATCATTTGGGTTGTTACATGGGTTTGTTCTTATATATGTGGCATTTGGAGAATGTAATGGTTGGTTGATTTTGTTATGAAATTTTGGTTTGCTGGGCAAGTGAGTTTGGGATTGAAATAATTATCAATTATTGGTTTTAGCATTGAGTTGAGTGAATTTATGGTTTATGGATTCAATTTACTCGGATATTTTTGGGTCGATATTATTTTATTGGTGGTATTGTTTGATCATTCATATTTGAGCGCACTCCAGATAATTTTGGAGGATTAATAAAGTACAAATCTATATGTGGTGTACTTTTTTTGGGAGAATTGAATTTTTTTATCAATAAGAATAGATTTTGTACAGGGATTGGCATTATTTCAATTTTTTGTTGCATCAATTGTGCGATTTTGTGTCGCAAGGGGTGATATATTGTACATAAGCCAAGGGCATGGCCCGAAATATGCTTAGAGTGGCGAAGTCCTTGATAATGATGCATGTTTACAACCACCTCTTCCATCGCCATCATTTCCAAGGACTCAAATAGGAATTGACATTGAATAAAATTTAGATTTATTCTTGCTGAAATGCAATTCGTAGTGATAATAATTTGTGTTTTCACTAAAATGTTGCCTTATTGTAATACTGCTGCATTTCTTATTCATATTAAGCCATCTTTTCTTTTATATAGATGTTAAGGTGTCTCAATGGATTTGGTTAGATACATACTAATCAACCATACTAATGGTTTGTCCTGTTTCAAACTTGATTTGCTTTCTCATTAATTTATTTGAGTCTCATACAGGCCAAAGTTTTGTTAATCTAATGACCATTTTCTTATTAGCTAAGATAAGAAGTAGGTTGTTTTGTGCGTATTATTTCCATTCAAGTAATCAATTTGAGTTTAAAGTATTGAAATGTATGTGTAAAACATACATAAATGGGAAAAATTCTTGGGGGTAAGAAAGCTATTCTTTTTTTATTATAGAAATAAGTTGTCTACATGTTCTCATTCCCTTAATTAGAGACTCTACAAATTATAAACATCAATGTTTCAATCAGTAATGATAATTTTTATAATATCAAATAAAGTATAGAATAAAAATAACTCCGGACAAGGTAATATAATTTTTTGATTCAAATTGGTAGCGAAAAATAGTCACTAACATGGAAATGCAGACTTTGATTATATTGTCCTTTACTTGATAAAAAAAATGATTTTCTCTATATCAAAAAGATGAAATTTTTGTATGCAAAATAAATTTTACATCATGTAAATATAGACCACAATAATCTATGGTATTTTCAAAGTGATTTTTTTAACTATTGTAGAATATAAAATCAGATTAGCCACTTATTATATTTTATTATTTTGTTGCATAAATATCTCATCAAAATACTTGTGTATAATTATGGATATGATATGAAAATAATTGTTTAGAAAAAAATAAGCTAAGACTATAATTCACGATATTGGTCACACGTGTGCACCAACTAGTAAATGAAGAGGGAAAGATGGGGAAAATGAGAATGAGGGAAAAAGGGTTGGGTAAGAGAAACAAAATGACGTCGTTTTGGTTTTTAAAAAAATTATATTCTGCGATGTAAAGAACAAAAATGGCACAATTTACTATTTTTATTTTATTTTAATTTTAAATGTGGTTATAATTTATATTCTGCGATGAAAATAAAAATGTCGCAAATTAAAATTTTATTTTATTTTATCTTATTTTTAAATTATTTAATTTGCGACAAAAAAAATTTGTCGTAAAAATTTTTTTATTTTCCATCATCACTCTCGCAAAAAAAAAAGGGAGAGACTCAATTTTTTCGACGAACTTAAAAATACGTCGTGAAAAAAATTATCATAATAATTATTTGCAACAAATTTATCAAATCTTCGCAGATAGTATATTGTTTGCGATGAAAATAAAAACGTCACGAATAAATTTTTATTTTTTTTTATTTTTTGATTATTTTATTTGTGACAAAAAATTTTGTCGTAAAAGAAATTTTCATTTCTTGCGATCACTTGCGCCAAAACAAATTGGGAGGGACTCCTATTTTTTGCGAATGACTTAAAAAAAAGTTGCGAAAAAAGTTATCATAATAATTATTTGCGATAAATTTATCAAATCCTCATAAATAAATATATTTTTTATGAGGAAAATAAAAAATGTAGTGAATTAAATTTTTATTTTATTTTTTAATTATTTAATTTGTGACAAAAAATTTTTGTCATAAAAAAAATTTTCATTTCCCACCATCACTCGCACCAAAACAAAATGAAAGGGACTCACATTTTTTGAGACGAACTTAAAAAAATGTTGCGAAAAAAAATTACCCCAATAATTATTTGCGACAAATTTATTAAATCCTCGCAGATAATATATTTTTTGCGACTAAAATAAAAACACCGCAAATTAAAATTTTATTTTATTTTTTGATTATTTAATTTATGACAAAAAATTGTCTTAAAAAAAATTTTCTTTTTCCGTCATCACTCGCGTCAAAGAAAAAGGGAGGGACTCACAATTTTTGCAACGAATTTAAAAAAACGTAGCAAAAAAATTATCTTAATAATTATTTGTGACAAATTTATCAAATCCTTGCGGATAGTATATTTTTTACGAAGAATGTAAAAATGTGGCAAAAAATAAATGTTGTTGTAATGATGCTTTAAATTCCTTTGCATTGTATATATATATTTGGGAATAAATTGCATTGTATATTCTTAGAGAATTTTTAGGCACATCTGAAATGTAATTAAAGGATTTTGTTGGGTTCATTTTTGAGTCTTAGGATTTAGGTTATTAGTTTAGTTTTAATTAAAAGACGAAAAAAATAGGAGTTTTTAGGATTTTTGTTTGAATCTATCGGTAGGTCAAAACCTGCTTCCTATTAGTACAACCCTATTCTGTCCGAAAAAATAAAAAAGGGAGTTTAACTAGTTTTCTTTCATTTCATTCGTGCAACCGACAAAGACTCAAACCCCCCAAACCCTCTCTTAGGTTCTGAAACTCCCTCGAGTACCGTACATAATCCTCCAATCCATCAAATAACTTCATTGATCCTTGGATTCAAGTGTTGATTTTGGTGATGGCAATGAGGAAGGCACAGATTCTGGTTTCTTCAAGTGTTGGTTCTTGAATTTCTTGGGTTTTTGGGTTGATTTTCTTTGCTTCCATTATCAGTATGTTGTTGGTAGATATGGCTAGAGTGATGGGTGGTTCACCATTTGCGGCTAAGAAAGCGCCACAAGCCAAAGGGAAAGGAAAGAGGTAGGTGGTGGAATCCGATTAAGAGGATCCTGGGCAAAATCCTGTGCCCAAGAAGAGGAAAAATTCGGGTTATAAGGAGACTATAGAGAAGAGGGGATTGATGTGTGAGCGCATGGTGGATGTGAATAGCTTGGGGAAGAATGCAGCTGTCCGTGACTATTATCAATTGTCCACTGGAGTTTTTCTTCAAGCCAGTTGAGGGGTACATTCTATCTTTCTGCCATGAGTTCTATACTGGGTTGACTATTGTGGATGTTGATTTGATGATTTTGAGGACCAACGTTCGAGGGAAGGTGCTTAAAGTAACTCCGGCAAAAGATAACAAAGTATTTGGGCTATAAGAGGCTTGACCCCTCTGAGATTGTTTACCCGCATGTGGAGTTTGCGGCGAAGAACCCTTCTAAGAATGTGAATGAGATGTATGACAGACCTGAGTAGTTCAATGACACATTCATTCATGGCCACTTGGATGTTGAGAACCGGTTGTTGAATAAGATTCTCCATCACAACATCTACCCTAAGGGGACTATGATTAACCAGGGAAGGTTAGAAAAATTGTATTTCCGGAATACACTTTTGAATTCTTTATTAACCTTCAATTCTATAACCCATTCACCTAAAATCAAGTTACAACCATAGAAAGTCCTTTTTGATCTTGGGAATTTGTGGCAAGTGTGTGTACTCAATAATGAAATGTGTGATATATTAGATTTATTGCTTTCATTTGCTTTAATATTCTTTCAAGAGATTATGTCAAGCTTGTTTCATTTGAATAATGTTCTTTTTTTCAAAAATATTTATAAAAATTCTTCACACATATAACCTTATGAGTGAAACAATCACCAAATCAAAGGTTTTCTATACCGAGAGTGAATCCTTGGTGAGATTTGTGT